AGACTGGGACAGCTCCTGCTACCACCTGCAGCTCCTGTCCAAAACCACGTCCTTACGCCATGTACAGACCCCAGGTCAAGCAGTGCTGCACCGCCACAGGGCTGTGCCTGCAATCAGGCCATGGCACTGATGGCTTGGCTGGCTGCTTCTGCCAGCACCAAGGGCTGTGCGCCACGGGTGGTGGTGGGGGCGGGTGTGTGGCAGCCCCCACTCAAAATCCACACCCCCCCCACACCCAGCTGGAGGGCAAACGAGGTACCTGACCTCCTGGCCATATGAGGCCAGGAGGACATGCTTTGACAGTTCAAAGAGGGCTACCACATTGAGCATGTCTTCCAGGCAGACAACAGCTGCCCAGATGGCAAGGCAGGGGCACACATGGCAGCAGTGCCACACAAAAGACCAACTGTGCAGCCACAGCCCCGCTGGCAGCTGGCCCAGAGATGCAAGCGGCTCTGCTACAGTGCCCATGTCACACCCAGGAGGCTGTGCAGTCCCTGTCCAGGTCTGGCAGGCATGCAGACATGTGGCTGCAGGTCCAAGGGAGCAGATGCTGTCACAGGTGGCAGCAGGGCACCGTCAGGAAATGCTGCCAGACTGCTGCAGTGGGTAGAGGGTGCAGGGTCCACTCTAGGTCAGGGCTGCTACAGCAATCCAGCTGGCACAAGGGGTAGTGTCCCCGTATGTCAACTGACCAGGCCTCAGACACTCCTAAGAGCAAGTAGCCCTGAGTTGCTCGCCAGGGCAGGTTTTTAAACTGCTGGGGCCAGCACAGGGCCAGCACAGCTCCCCCTGGCTGTAGATCTGGGAAGAGCTGGGCAGGGTTAGTTTGCCCCACAAAGTGGCACAACTTGCCCAACACCAAAGTATATGTTCAGGTATGTGTGCTGAGGCACAAATCCCCAACACAAATTTGTGCTGCTCCTATTTGAACTGCTGCAAGTGCACGTGCCTGCATGTGTAGACCCACTCATTGGGTCTACATGCAGTCAATGGACAGAGTGTTATGTGCTTCCAAGAACTGCCAATAAGCAGCACCAGGCAGCCTACCTTAAGTGTCATGCAGATGCCACTATGTTGCTTCTGGTTTAGCATGCAAGCCAGCTAGAGCAGAGCAGTATGCTTGAGAGTGCTGTACATGGAGGTAACAGGGGAATAGCAAAACTAAGAACTACAGCTGACAAATTATGAACAAGGCCAGGTTGTCATTGTCCCTTGCCTAGGAGCACCACAGCACTCCCTTTTCTACTGTAGATGCAAACTTTGCCTATACACAACAAGCCATTGAGTCATCATGGTCCCCTGCACACAAACGAGTTCTGTCTGCATAGTGAAATGGCTCAACATTTAAAAAAAAAAAAAAAAAAAAAAAAAAAAAAAAAAATCAGGAAAATATTGCTCTTCTCACTGGTTAATGGGACTCCACACTAAAACCTAGACACAAGCACTGAAAAAAAACCCTATACACCATAGGACCCAGATCATTCCTGTCCAAGTGGCTCAGAACCTGCTTCATTTACAGTGGGCTGCTGAATTAAGGATGAGCTGCTCAGCTGCTCATTTTGGCTTTTACTTCAGAGGATACCACTTTGCCACTCAGCTGGAGCTCATCGGTGGTCCCACACAGCTGACTAAGAAACAATGCACTTTGAAAGGGAAGCCACAGCTGGAGCACCTAAGTAGTCCCAAGCAGCTGTTTGCTGTGGCTATATATGCCCCTACATAGCAAACGCTCATCTTCACAAGGGACGAGGACCCTAACCTGAAGAAGAATCCAGGCTCTGCTGTATTATCACCTCGTTAAAGGTCCTCTTCCAAGCAAAACTAATATTAGAAACATGCCTGTAAAAAAAAGGGGCAATTATACTTTGTCCTTTAACTTCACCCCTGCACAATGAAGCATTAGAAGAGGCATAAAACAAAAAAGAAATTCCATTTTGTAAGTATTTAATATCTGAAATACTCTGAAAAATTTAAGAGGACAGCAAATAGGCTAACATCTAACTTGCACATTCCTCTTATGATTTCAGTGGAGGACAAAAACTCATCTAAAAAGTATTTATATCTGCTAAGTTAAAATTTGTCCAATTCCAGTGTCTTCTTCCACAATTGCATTTGGCTGCCCAACACAGATGCTCAGCCTGGCATAGACTACACAGGGCTCTCTCTCTACAAAAGCGGTTCAAGCAAACCTTAAATCCCCTGGAACAGATGCCTTAGGTTCAAGGTTCCAAACACTCTTGGACCTCAATCCACACTGGTGCAGGTTCAGCAAACACAGATATTCACATGGCCAGGAAGACAGGGAACCTCCTACCTCTAGGCTCCTTGTTTGAGCAATTATTTTAGGGATCCCTCGGCAAATGTAACCCTACTAGCATTCACAGACATCATCTATAAGCAAAAAAACCAAAGACTCAGGGTCAGATCCCAATGAGAAAGGGAGCCGTGCCAGTTCATTCCAGCAAAGGCTCTAGCTCCATGCATTCCCATGTATGTTTCTTACTGTTTGAGGGTGGCAAGTATATTTACCGTGCTGAAAATCATCAAAACCTCAAGATATTTTTATGACATTCCAGCACCATCCAAAACCTCAAGTACTGGAATACATTGAAGGGCTAAAGTCAGGATCTGAACGAGACATACCGTACACTCACAGCCAGCAGTAAACAGCTCTGCCAATGAAAGGACCTGTCAGCCTGTCGGAAATAACAGCAGAAGAGTGCTAGAGAAATATTAGCATGACCTAGCGTGACTCATCTTGGTTTGTCCAGAACGGTCTCAGAGTCAACTTTGTTGTTCCACATTCCAGCAGAACTCCATTATGTGGAGAACACAGTTCAGTTCAGCATCTAGTCTCTGGCTGCCAACTGACATCATTTGGCCCCTTGCTCATAAACCACAACTACGACTGTTTATTCCCACCCCCAAGGAAAACAGAAGAGATCAGTCTCATGCCTCTTATGAAGACTGCTGACCAGCCTCCCATGCTGATGCTGCAATGTTTCATGGTGTCAACTAGAAATTAACGGGATGTCGGATCTTCAGCACCAACATCACTACTATTCCCTTAGCACTGGTGCCAAGTTCTAGCCCATGCCAGTACTGCAGTGGCAGGGTGACATGTAGCTCATCAGACCTACTAACTTCCCTTTGGAGCAGCTGGGACAGATAAGGTCAAACACCACTTCTGTTATAACACTCCTTTTGCAGTCACTCTGATCCTTATCAAATCAACTTCTTTTGGGGAATCTTGTTTCAGAAGCAGTCTACATTTAAAAATGATCTTTTCTTTTCATTTACACGTCCTGTAAAAATCGCTCCCTCAACCATTTTTGAACTCCAGATGCACACATGCATTCTTGCCCAGATGGTTCACCGAAAAGAAACCATGTACATCTGGACGTCAGCAGGACAGATATGACTGAAACTTAATTTGATCTGCAGGCATTGCTGAGATCTGCAGAGCAAATCTGGAGAAAATGGGCTCAGTCATTTGGAAGTAAAAATCACTGATGAAAGATTTTTAATGCATTTGCAACTGGCTTTTTGGTTACGTTTCTTTTCCTGTTTCAAAACTGAGGAATGCAGCACAGTGTTTTCCTATCAGCTGAATGTATAAGACCTCAACAACACAAGGAAATCGGGGATAACATTAAAACAAAGGGAAGGATGAACCCTTCTGTTTGAAAATAGGCCTTGGAGGACTGAATATAAAAATTACATGCATGGAGCAATGCATCCCCACTGAACTGTTCTGGAAAACTGAATCTGGCATGTTATGGATTTGGGTGGTGGGAATGGGAAATGTGGGGTCACTAGTCTTGCAAACATTCTACTTAATAGCAGCATTTAACATTTTAAAGTATTTTACATAAAATAAAGTGGGCCTCGTTATTCCCAATTTCAGTCATAGAGAGATGAATGGTTGGTTTTTCAGGAGGTGCTAGAGAGGCGTAACACAGCTGAAAATCGGTAGGAATTTCAGGTGCTCCCCACTGCAAAAGGTCAGGACATTATGCATCTTGCCTGAAGTTACAGAAGGGTGGAGTGCTAAAATTACTCCATATTTCTGGATTTCTAACTCCAGTGCTCAAACTCTTCAAGCACTGGAGAATTTCATCTTTAAGGTCTTATCAAACACAAGCACTATTTAATGCCTGTACTCAAAACATTGTTTTTTTTGACTCGTGGTATGTGCAGAGTGGGTGGCACCAATGCGCTTGTTCAGACCGAGACAGCTACAAGTACACAGGGTGTGTCACTAAAATGTAACCACAATCCTCATTTTGTTTAATAAGTATGAATAATGTTAAAGACCTATGCATATCTACCATCCTGTCCCTCCCCCCACACACACAGGTGCCAAAGGAACAGTCCTTCTCAAGTGATACCCAAGTGTTCAAAGCACTAAGCCACCCGATTAGCTGAACCTCTGAGGATGCTCTGTTGTTTAGTATCAACCTCATCTGAAGTCTGTTCATTAAACTTGTGGGTGTTAATAAAAGATGCGTCTTAGTTAAAACATAAGTTGTATGTCTGAGGCAGGAACTACAGAGTGAAGTCTGATGTGCAAAGCACAGGCCATCAACAAAAAGCTGGGAGCCAAGTTTTGGCAGACATGCAACAAATCAGTCCCGTGTCTTCCTCGAGTGCCACTCTGACCCCTGTCCAATCTGCTGTTTTGCTCCCTACTCCCAGGTACCCACCCAGACAGCTCCACCTGGGCTTATAAAATCTGCAGCAGGGTTCAATCACTGTGGCCCAAGAAACTCTGATTATGAGCTGCCACTCCAAGGGAAAAGAAATTGCAGCACCCATGCCAAACCTCACAACCCCAGATAATTTCCCAATGTGGCACTTCATGCAAATTTGTTGGTAAGAAGCCAACTTGACCACAGTGAATTCTCTGTCTTGTCGGCCTGGCTAATGAAGACCAAGATCTCACATGTAGCAAACAGATTTAAAGCGATTAATAGTAAGAGAGATGTTTACTGTACCTGCAGTAAGACAGTACCCCCAGGGACTGTGAGCTGTAAACAGTACTTGGGGGCATTCTCCCAGGAAAGCAGCTGCACGTCTTCAATAGCACTATAGGAAATGGAGTTTTCCATGTAGCCAGTTGGCTGCAAAAAAAAAACAAGGAGAGAAAAGAAAAACATTTACTTACTCATCAATAGTTGCACAACTAGGAATCAAAGGAAGAGTTATACCATAAAACATTCAGGTGCATTTGGTGCCGAACATGTCTACATAGTATCCATCTACATTTTCAGCTGGAAGGGATGAGGGCTAGCAGAAAAGTACAGAACACTAGTCATTCACCTCTAGAACCTCCGTCCAAATCCTGATGAAGTCACGGGTGGCTTCATATTGGCCTAGTTTGACTATACCATGAAATCTGGAGGAAGGTTAATAAGTGAAAACCCCAGAGTGAAGCGGCTACTGCAAGCAGAAACACAGGTAGCTTGTGAAAAGCTTCTGTATAGGTCATTCTGCATAGGTGTTAAGAGTCTATCACAGGGGTGGACAAAATGTGGCCCGGGGGCTGGATGTGGCCCACCAGGCCATTCTATCTGGCCCACAGGGCCCCTAAAAAAATTTAGAAAATTAATATTTATCTGCTCTGGGCTGCCTGTCATGCGGCCCTCGATGGCTTGCCAAAACTTAGTAAGCGGCCCTCTGCCCAAAATAACTGCCCACCCCTGGTCTATCACCTCCTTCTTCCCCACTTATGCCTGTATCCTCCATACTGTAAATGAGAAAATGAAAGAAAGAAATAACAGGTTGTTCGTCAAGCTTGTTGACTAAAACACGATGGTTTGGATATTTTTAAAATCGCATTTATGCACTCAGGTCTGAGCTGGATCTGAGTCGATATGCATATAGCATGTCTGCGTGTATGTGGGAGGAACGCATCTGAATCAGACAGAACTGCAGTGAAATATAATTGAGAGTTTTATCCCGCATGTTTTTGTTCTGCTCCCTGCGTACAAGGCTGATCAAGTGCATTATCAAGATCTAATATGCTGCATCTGCCAGTGGCTCTTCAGCCTCTGCTTCAAGACAGATAATCCAAGGTGGAGCAACCAACCTGCTTGGCTCTACTTAGTTTCTTCTAGAGGATGCCAGTCTGATGGCAAATGAAAAGTCACGATAAAAACAAAAGAGAAAAAAAGACAGTTCCCTGCAATATGCATCAACTGCAGCAAAGAAACTCAAAGGATGAAGCTTGCTTTTTAACCTCTACCAATATTCCTGCTATGGCAGCAGGACCTGTGTATATACACACACCTCTAGCAAGACAGCTAGAGAACTAGGCTGAATTTCACATGTGTCTGTAATATTATATATGGCACACATGCTGCATTGGATGCACACACATATCTGCAAAGTATAAATGCACAAGGAGAGACATATACGCGGCCACACTAATTATACATACACTCAAAGCGCACACACATTTCCACACATGCCCTTTATTTGAGTTACTTCTCATGTTTAACAGAGACCCCAAAAAGTTTTCATTTAAAGTGTGTCAACAAGGGGGCAGGGGGAAAAAAGAAAGAAAGAAAAAAAATCAGTGGTAGCGTTAAAGGGAGTATCTCTTCCACTTCAGCTCTGTTGATTAGATTCTCCCCATAGGCAGACCTTTAGATTGACCACTGAATAAGTGAATCATGACCACTGAATAAGCACATCATTATGCCTTAAAGTCACTTCTGTGGCATGTATGCAGCTTTTAAGACACCTGGTGTGATCCTATTCTCCCCACCATCATAGCCACAGAGCTGCTAAGACACCCAGATAGATTCCTTACATGTCTCCATTTTGGACTACAAAGATCTCTTGCAGACTAAACCCGGCCTGCTGTGCATGCTCAGAACCATCCCAGACAGCCATCTAGATGGCTAACTCCACTAAGGCCTGCTGCAATCCCATTGTGCCTGGGAAAAGTATATACCCTGTGTAAGTCCCCGTTTTTGTACAATGAGAAAGCCACCAGAGCATCTAGCTGGTGTGAAGCCAGTAGCAGACAATGCTGCTGTCTGTCAGTTAGACATCTGCCCTCTGGACTGAACTAATTCAACTTAGATCCCAGCATGAGGAAAATACAGCAGGCAGCAGAATTCTCAATTCCACTGGGGGAACTGAAAGAGGTCTGTGCCTCTTCTGACGTGGAAGAGGATTGCTTTCTAGAGCTGCCTAAGGCTGCCCACTGCCAGAGGGGGAAAGCCATGAGTGTCTTCAGGGTAGAATAAGATCAGCCTTTGGGACAGCACTAGGCTGCCTGCTGAAAATAAGAGAGCGATGCATCTTCCAGGGCAGATCAGGACCATGCTTCTAAGATAGGACGCGTAGTCTGGGGGCTAGCAGCAGCAGATTTGGGTGTTAATTACTCTTACAGAATTATTTTTATATAATTACTTTACATCTAACTTATGCTTCCCAAATATGTTTCCCCCAACACCTGACTGATTTAAGTTAGCATTGACAATCTTGCAACAGACCAGAAAAAAAACAACAAAACCTGTCAAAGCCACATCTATGGCAGGAGCAAACAGGAGCATCTTTAACAATCACAACAGAGGATTCTTGTGGGCGAGTGTGAAATAAGCAAATTCCTCTTGGAATGCACCTACTTTTTAGCGGTGAGGCTTCCTTCCAGAAGACAAGTGGGTGGTGTGTGGGGAAATCATAAACTCACTTTCCCCTGTTAAAAGGATGCAGAAGACCCATATAAAAATCTCTGCCAAAATCCAGTAGATGCCCTTGTAACACACGCATAACATGAAGAACATATAAGCTGCCTTTATAAAAAGGGGGATGCGGGGGGAAACTCTAGGAATTCAAGCTTAAAAACAACATTTTTGAATGCTTTATTGCGGTAGTCTTAGTTTTACACCAGCCCTGGTGATGAAAATGGTTTTCAGTGTCTCCTTAACAAAACCTTGTTATGCAGGAAGTATGATAAACTTCTGCTTATTCATTTAGCCACAATATCGTTCCCCACTAGCAACTGGAGTCCCAGTGGCTTATGTTGATCCTGTACGTCATGTGGGGCCTACTGGAGAGTAATTATCTTGTTCTCACAGGAAGCCAAAGGATCAAGATTCTTTGGTGATCAACATTACAACACTCAGGGAAAATAAGAAAAACAGCCAGTAGGGTCGATTATGCTCAGGAGACAACGTTCGCAAAAACACACTTTAAGGGATGGAAGAAGAAGAAAGCAAGGACCAGCAGAAGCCAAGAGGCAGAAGCAATGCACATTGTTCTCTTTGCACCCCATCTACAAGGTGCCAAGTGCCCTGAACCCTCATTTACCCCAAACATGAACCTGGGGTATTTGGGCCCTGGGACCAGGCTTCCCTATAACTTCTACCCGCGTTTGTTTAAGAATAGCTAGCCCAGTGCTGGCACAATGCTGTGACCTGTAAATAACTAAATCTCAACCCACACACTAAACATCTATAAGCCGGTTTTGATTATTAAATGCTTTTTCTTTTGAAAGGGTAGGATAACGTTCAACCCTACCTCTCTATCAGAGGATCACAACAAAACCACTAGTCATTCAGAGAGCTTTTGGCATTCACAGGGCATTTTCCTTTGAAACAAGGGTGTGGTTGCCTCTGTGAAAAATCATTTGTATACCTGGACCAGAAAAAAAAAAAACATTTGTTTCCACAGTGCTAAGCTAAACTAAAATTCTGTCTGAAATATCATATTGAAGAGAATGGGCTATGCTGCCCTTTATAGGCACAACCTTGTGAAGAAATAATCTACATAATGATGGAATATAAATTAGATTTTAAAATTCTCTCTTTTTAATGGTCTACTCTAAACCCACCTTTTAGTTGGAGGAATGTCTTTTAGCTCTGACAATTTTTAAGCTTGGGAAACACTGCAGACAGCACGGTCCTGAAATTAGACATTTCCAGCTCTGTTTTGCAAACTGGAACTGTTTGCAACTGAGTCAGCCAGTGATGTATCACGATGTAAAGGGCTTGAAAGAGGGCTTTTACAAGTTGTCAAAGATCCGAGACTACATGTTGCCACACCAAGGGCAGTGCAGGGCACTGTCGCAGCAGGAAAATGGAGAACAGAGTACACTTGACTTGGACAAAGCAGATCCCAGGGCTCACTAGTCCTTCCCACAGCACTACCACTTGCAGGCAAAGCATACATGTCTCCCTATCCTGACTGGTCAGTGCACAGGCCACAGTATTGGCTACTTTGGAAAGTCTAAGCCTACACAGGAGAGACTAAGAACTTCACTGGGCTTAACCCTTGCATACTAAAGTGGAGGAAGAAGAAGGACAAATCAGCCCTCTGTTAGGAAATAGTCCAAACCCAAAACCACAGCCCGAGTCACTTGATCTACTTGAACCACAGACTATAATGGCATTCAGGTATGTCGATGTCCATCACTGTGAATCACCGTGGCTGGTGAACAACCAGAGCAAATGTTGAAAGGACTGAATTTTCCAGTAGACCTCCCTCGCTCACACAAATCCCCACAGAGGCTTTATTCTGACCAGCAGGTTGCTCTAGGGAAAATGCAAGTCATGAACACAGGAAAAAAGAGAATGGAGTCTCAGGTACTGGAAAGCATCTAAAAGCAGCAGGACAGATCCTGGGCTGGAGTAAATCTGGTCCAGTATCCTGAGGATCTTTGAGCAGCAATACATCACGCTCAGTTGTAAAGAGTCCCAACTGCAAAGCATTCAGGGTTTTGTCTATGCTGCCAAAGGATCATACTACACAGCACACATGGCCCACCCTGAAATGGATGTCACCTCGCTGCCTTTGTGCAGTGCTAAGCACACATCAATACACACACCCAAGAGCGCAAACCCCACACATCTACATGACAGCCATTCTGCAGTGTGCGGAGCATGGATCACCCAGACCAGGTACCACCGTGGCACCCCCTAGTGAGGTCGAAAGCAGACCCAAAATTATAAGTGCAAGTTTTAGGAAGATATGATCTCTATTTCTTGCCCCAAGCTTGAAATCTAGGGAGGTATGTACTTTCCCTCCTTATGCTACAAAAATTTAGCTTTAGTTGACTGAAACAGAAGGAAAGCAGAAAAAATTCATGTCTTATTGCTTCTGCAACTTG